GTGTGTGTGAGTTTATCCGTAATTGCCCTTTATGTGCTGGTGAAGGATGTAGTTACCAATTAAAAGCAATAATCTCTGTTCTATATATAGAAATATTCCAAAAACTATTAAAATATTCTCATTAATGAAATTTTTAAATATTTCTTTTATTAGGTTTATATTCACTTTATTAGGTTTATATTCACTTGATCACTGGTATATGATTTAATGCTAGCAGCTGTTTGGGGTTCATTTATTTGTTAATTGTTTAAACACATTATTTTGAGCGCAGGAGGGTCACACCACTACGGTACAGGAGATGACCAGAGACTGCGGACCTTTGGGGAGCGTGGGGGGGATTTGACAGGTACCCACTTCCGCTGCGATCGCCTCTCTCCCCGAAGTCTTCTGGGACACGTGACAGGTCCTGGAAGACTACTGGGCCATTCACAAAGCGTAGCGTTTCTCACGCATGCGCAGTGGGCACTCGGCTGTGAAGCTGCAAGCTGTCACAGCCGGGGGCCCACACTGAAGATGATGAGGTGATGACACCGCTGGACCGAGGAGCAGGATCTGCTGCACAGAAGAGCCGAGCGGGCCGGCCTGGTATCAAGATGATGCCCGCAGCTTGTAATAGCATTCCGAGTGACTAAGTAGCTGCTGGATTGCTATTACAAGCAGTGGGAGGGGACATTCTCCCCACCCCTGCCTTTCATGGGCTGTCCCACCGGACACCCAATCGACCAGCCAGCATTTCCACCGGCTGGTTATAGAACCGAAGAAAGAGCTGAATCGCTATAGGCTACCGGAAGGGATGAACTGACATCACTTCTGGTTTACGTGGATATAAATGGTGCCATTTTTAAAAATGGAAAGCGTTCAATCACAGCGATCTTGGTGTCATTGATTGCTTTTCAGGGCAGAGGAGGGATTTGGGGGTCTTATTGACTCCAGATCCCTCCATACAGAGGACCTGTCACAGGCCTATCGCTTTCACGGGGGGTGTTTACAATGTATAAAAGTGCTAAAAAAAAAAAAATTGTAACCGCTTTAGCTCCGCCCCATACTGCTACAGGGCGGCAGCTGTGCGCAAAATCGTGTATATATACGTGATTTCGCATTTTCCGGGTAGGGAGTGTGCGCCCCACCTGCGCCGCCATTCGCGGCCGTGGCTGGCTGTCAATCACCGGGTCCCGGCCGGTGATTACTCGCCATCGTCTGGTGATTGCCGAGAATCTGCGACCGGGGGGGGGGGGTTACTGTTAGTAAACAATACAGTTCTCCTCCCTGTCATTTCCGGCACACTGCTTTGCATGGCAGATCATGATGTAAAAACACACACACAGTTAACCCTTTGATCGCCCCAGATGTTAACCCCTTCCTGCCCAGTGCCATTAGTACAGTGTCAATGCTTTTTATTATCACTGGGGATGTCAGTGACACCAATTCCTCCCCCCCCCCCCCCAGTGTCAGAATGCCTGCCGCATTCCCGCTATAAGTCGCTGATCGCTGCCATTACTAATATGAAAAAAAAAAAAAATCCCAGTATCTATACCGCCATTTGCAGACGTATCGGGATTTTTTTTTTTTTAGCTATATATATGTGATTTTGCATTTCTAGGTAGGGCCATTCGTGGATGTGGCTGTCAAACACCGGGTCCCGGCCAGTGATTATTGCCGACGCCTGGTGATTTCCAACGATCTCCGACTGTTAACAGTCCTCCCCCTTGTTGGCTCGGGCACACTGCACAGCACAGCCATCCAGAGGAGTGTGATTACAGTGAAGCACACAGACCCCGCCACCTAGTAATATACTCACCCCCCCCCCCCCCCCGCACACAGTTAACCCTTTGATTGCCCCTCACATTATTCCCTTCCTGCCCAGCGCCTTTAGTACAGTGTCAGTGCTTTTTATTAGCACTGATCTCTGTATTGGTGTCACTGGGGATGCCAGTGACACCAAGTCAGTTCCCCCCCCCCCCCCCCCCCCCCAGTGTCAGAATGCCCGCCGCAGTCCCGCTATGAGTCGCTGATCACTGCCATTACTAGTAAAAATGTAAAAAAAAATTTTAATAACCCCAGTATATATACTGCCATTTATAAATGTTATAACTTTCACATAAACCAATTAATTTACACGTATTGGGTTTTTATTTTTTTAGCAAAGACACGGAGCAGAATACATGTCGGCCGAAATTTATGACGAAATTTGATTTTTGTAATTTTTTACTGATCATGTTTCTTTTACAAAGAATTTTATTGTAAATGGAGCAACGATAAACAAACATTCGGAACATAGAATCCTTGACCAATACATAGAAAATTGTACTGTATGCTTGAGAAATAATGTAACGCGTACATTGGAGAGAAAGAGAAAAAAAAAAACTCAAAACATCAGCTATAACTTATAACAGAAATGCCCGGTACAAAGGGTACGATTCACAGTCTTTGATGGTCAATGATAGTGCAGATTCTGAGAGAGAAAATTGCTACATCGAGAAATATTGGACAAGAGTATAATAAAGACACAGACCAGGAGGAGAGAGAAGAAGAGATATAAAAAAAAAAAAAAAAAAAGGGGGGGGGGAAAGTAGGGCTCCGGGGAGATCATAGCAGAATCCAACCTCATATCGACAGAAGGGACTGGTCTAATCTTGATGGTTGGGTTATATCCAGCCAGGGACGCCATATCTGCAGAAATTTAGTTTTACTGGTCATGTTTAATAGCAAAAAGTCAAATATATTGTTTTTTTCCCCCAAAATGGTCAGTCTTTTTTTGTTTATAACGCAATAAATAAAAACCGCACAGGGGATCAAATACCACAGAAAGAAAGCTCAATTCGTGGGAAAAAAGAGGTAAATGTAATTTGGGTGCAGCGTCGCATGACCGTGCAATTGTCAGTTAAAGAAACGCAGTGCCGCAGAGCAAAAAATAGCCTGGTCAGGAAGGGGGGGGGGGGGGGGGAGGGGAATTCTTTGGAGGGTAAGGAGTTAACAGCGTTTTTTTTTTCATCCAGTGTTTTTTGAGTTTGAAAAAACACTAGTGTGCATGTAGCCTAAAAGATGACATTACACCAAGAAAATCGATAACAAACACGTCACGCTTTAAAATTGTGGAACAGCAACAAACTACGTACATTATATGATCCATAGGTGACGCTTTCAGATCCTTTCCAGGTTCCCAGTTTAGAGTTGTGCTGGCCATACACAGGGAAGAATGCCCCTTACATTGGTGGTCAGTGGGAAGAATGCCCCTTACATTGGTGGTCAGTGGGAAGAATGCCCCTTACATTGGTGGTCAGTGGGAAGAATGTCCCTTACATTGGTGATCAGTGGGAAGAATGCCCCTTACATTGGTGGTCAGTGGGAAGAATGCCCCTTATATTGGTGATCAGTGGGAAGAATGCCCCTTATATTGGTGATCAGTGGGAAGAATGCCCCTTACATTGGTGGTCAGTGGGAAGAATGCCCCTTATATTGGTGGTCAGTGGGAAGAATGTCCCTTACATTGGTGATCAGTGGGAAGAATGCCCCTTACATTGGTGGTCAGTGGGAAGAATGCCCCTTATATTGGTGATCAGTGGGAAGAATGCCCCTTATATTGGTGATCAGTGGGAAGAATGCCCCTTACATTGGTGGTCAGTGGGAAGAATGCCCCTTATATTGGTGATCAGTGGGAAGAATGCCCCTTACATTGGTGATCAGTGGGAAGAATGCCCTTACATTGGTGGTCAGTGGGAAGAATGCCCCTTACATTGGTGATCAGTGGGAAGAATGCCCCTTACATTGGTGGTCAGTGGGAAGAATGTCCCTTACATTGGTGATCAGTGGGAAGAATGCCCCTTACATTGGTGATCAGTGGGAAGAATGCCCCTTACATTGGGGGTCAGTGGGAAGAATGCCCCTTACATTGGTGGTCAGTGGGAAGAATGCCCCTTACATTGGTGGTCAGTGGGAAGAATGCCCCTTACATTGGGGGTCAGTGGGAAGAATGCCCCTTACATTGGGGGTCAGCGGGAAGAATGCCCCTTACATTGGTGGTCAGCGGGAAGAATGCCCCTTACATTGGTGGTCAGCGGGAAGAATGCCCCTTACATTGGTGGTCAGCGGGAAGAATGCCCCTTACATTGGTGGTCAGCGGGAAGAATGCCCCTTACATTGGTGGTCAGCGGAAGAACGTCCCTTACATTGGGGGTCAGCGGGAAGAACGCCCCTTACATTGGGGGTCAGCGGGAAGAATGTCCCTTACATTGGGGGGAAAGTCAGCGGGAAGAATGTCCCTTACATTGGGGGTCAGCGGGAAGAATGTCCCTTACATTGGGGGTCAGCGGGAAGAATGTCCCTTACATTGGGGGTCAGCGGGAAGAATGTCCCTTACATTGGTGATAAGCGGGAAGAATGTTCCTTACATTGGGGGTCAGCGGGAAGAATGTCCCTTACATTGGGGTCAGCGGGAAGAATGTCCCTTACATTGGGGGGTCAGCGGGAAGAAACGTCCCATACATTGGGGGTCAGTGGGAAGAATGCCCCTTACATTGGGGGTCAGCGGCAAGAATGCCCCTTACATTGGGGGTCAGCGGGAAGAATGTCCCTTACATTGGGGGGTCAGCGGGAAGAATGTCCCTTACATTGGGGGTCAGCGGGAAGAATGTCCCTTACATTGGTGGTCAGGGGGAAGAATGTCCCTTACATTGGTGGGTCAGTGGGAAGCATTACCCCCTTACAGAAAGCTAAAGGAACCCCTAACAACCTCTGGAGGAACCCTAGGATTCCATGGAACCGTAGTACAGGGTCCCTGGTGTAAATGAATGAAATTGCGGGTCTGTCCAATGGAAAGCGTCCGTATACCCCTACATTTCCCATACTTTGGGCCGGACAGTGTTGCAGCAGACCGGTTTTTGACCCCATGGGCAATGATTTGGAGAGCTCGGTGTTGGACGATACATTTTATATTGCTCATAAACATATTTGGTTTGATAATCGTGAACCCTGACTTACCTTATGTAACCCAATTCTTACAGGAGGACTGGACCTTGTCCTTGTGCCGGGACTTGGATTTGATAAGGACGGCCATCGCTTGGGGCGGGGTAAAGGATATTACGACACATTCTTAGAACGCTACAACCAACAACTTTCTTCCAGACCGCACACCATCGCTTTGGCTTTCCAAGAGCAGATATGTCCCTCCATCCCCGTCACTGACAGCGACTTTGTCATCGATGAGATCCTCTGCGCTGGAGATCTGGAAATAGTTACAAAACTGAAAAACGCTACCGACAGAGGCGACCGGCCACTCTATGGGAAAGCAATAACATGAAATTCCAGGTAATTTATAAATCAAATACAATTCTCTATCTCGGGATTTATCATTTCTCACAATATTTCTCCTCTGAGGTCCTCAGGCCTCTTCCTCTGCTCGGGATCCAATCTCATCTACCAAGAAAATCAGCTCATCCCCTCCGGACTGAATAATTGAACCGTTCTTCAGTCAGAAATGGAACCCGTTCAATCCGTGGCCTAAAGATCTTCCCCTTCTCTCATTCCTAGCTTTCAGAATAGACTGGCATTAATTAAAGTCATTTTATACTTTTGTAACTCTTAATAATAAAAATGATAAGTTGTTGTTTCTGTTGTATGTTGCTTGCTGCTTCTCCATCTCATTCTATTCAGTCATTATTTATTTATTTCAGGTACTTATATAGTGCTGTCAATTTACTCAGCGCTTTAGATATATATTGTACATTCACATCAGTCCCCCCCTCCCCCGAGGAGCATACAATCTACGGTCCCTAACTCACATTCATACATACACATACTAGGGCCAATTTAGACAGGAGCCAATTCACCTACCAGCATGTCTTTGGAGTGTGGGAGGAAACTGGAGTACCTGAAGGAAAACCCATGCAGGCACAGGGAGAACATGCATGCTCCAGGCAGGAGGTGCCGTTGTTGGGATTCGAACCAACGACCCGAGTACTGCCAGGTGGAAGTGCTAACCATCTAGCCACTGTGCTGCCCATTATTAGTTATTATGTGGTTTGCTTCACCCAAAGGTCCAGTGATCCCAGTGGCTGTCAAGCCATGAGCTAAAGGGGGTCTCAAATGCGGCCCCTGTCATCACCAGAGGGCCACGCATAATGTTCAATATGTAATGCTTAAGAGGACTATCAGAGACTGCAGACCTACTAGAGCCAATGAGGGTCAGAGAGTGTGGAACAGAGATGTGCACGACGGGGAAAATTCGTTTAGTTTCGGATTCATTCGTTAAAGTTGGTTCTAAAGGCTCCATTTTTTTTACCTTCACATATTCTATGTAAAAAACTTCTGTGTGTAGCAGCCCCCCTTACACTTACCTGAGTCCCATCCCCATCCAGCAATGTCCATGAGAGCTTTGGCTCTCTGGAGACTCTCACTCCTGATTAGCTGAGGCAGCAGCGGGAGCCATTGGCTCCCCACTGCTGTCAATAACAGCCAGTGAGCCAATCAGGAGTAGGATTGGGCATGGCCAAGCCGCGGCTCTGTGTGTGAATGGATATGCAAAGCTGTGGCTCAGAAGCTCGCCTGCTTTGGTGCCCTCATAGCAAGCTGCTTGCGGTGGGGGCACCTGACAGGAGGGAGGGGCCAGGAGCACCGGTGGAAGACCAGAGAAGAGGATTGGGGCTGCTCTGTGCAAAACCATTACACAGAGCTGGTAAGTATAGACATGTTTGGTTTTTTTTTTTTTAAACAAACAAGACTTCTTCTCTCCTTCTCTTTCCTCCTCCTCCTCTTCCTTCCTCCCTTACACAGAGCATTGAGGTCGGCTTGTAAGTTGGAGACATCCTGTAAGGACGTTATTCCACGGCACAGCTTGGTGTCATCTGCAAAGACTGAAATGGGATTTATAATCCCAGACCTGATATTGTTTATAAGTATATTAAACAGTAAGGGTCCCAACACTGAACCTTGGGGTACCCCACTAATAACACTGAACCTTGGGGTACCCCACTAATAACACCGAACCTTGGGGTACCCCACTAATAGCACTGAACCTTGGGGTACCCCACTGACACCCCTAGACCATTCAGAGTATGAATCATTAACCACTTCTCTCTGAATACGATCTTTTAGCCAGTTTTCTATCCATTTACATTCGGATTTTTCCAGCCTGTAAACTTTACCTTACACATTAGCTGTGTGTGGGGGAACTGTGTCAAATGCTTTTGCAAAATCCAAGTATACCACGTCCACCGCCACCCCCCTCTGTCCAAGTATACCACGTCCACCGCCACCCCTCTGTCCAAGTATACCATGTCCACAGCCACCCCTCTGTCCAAGTGTGCCGCATCCACCGCCACCCCTCTGTCCAAGTATACCACGTCCACCGCCACCCCTCTGTCCAAGTATACCACGTCCACCGCCACCCCTCTGTCCAAGTATACCACGTCCACCGCCACCCCTCTGTCCAAGTATACCGCATCCACCGCCACCCCTCTGTCCAAGTATACCGCGTCCACCGCCACCCCCTCTGTCCAAGTATACCACGTCCACCGCCACCCCTCTGTCCAAGTATACCACGTCCACAGCCACCCCTCTGTCCAAGTATACCATGTCCACCGCCACCCCTCTGTCCAAGTATACCGCGTCCACCGCCACCCCTCTGTCCAAGTATACCACGTCCACCGCCACCCCCTCTGTCCAAGTATACCATGTCCACAGCCACCCCTCTGTCCAAGTATACCATGTCCAACAGCCACCCCTCTGTCCAAGTATACTGCGTCCACCGCCACCCCTCTGTCCAAGTATACCGCGTCCACCCGCCACCCTCTCTGTCCAAGTATACCGCGTCCACAGCCACCCCTCTGTCCAAGTATACCATGTCCACAGCCACCAATCTGTCCAAGTATACCACGTCCACCGCCACATAAAAAAAAAATCAGATTTGTTTGACAACTTCTGTCTTTCATGACTCCCAACTATAGAAGTTAAATTAACAGGTCTGTAATTACTTGGTAATTGAGTGATGTACCTGTGCATCGCAAACTTATTTCCAGATGTGAGCACGCATGCGCATGCAACCCTCCACGCTGACCCCCTTGTTATTTGCTGCAGGAGCAGTTCATCAGTGGGTCTCGGCCAATGATTTTTGCCAGGGCACTGCTGATATCCTGCAGCGAATGGAGAAGCTGGTTCTCCTCTTCCTGGACCCTTTTTTCGGTCCAGGGAGAGACAAAAGCTGAGAAGGAGGGAGATGGAGTGATGGAGGAGGGGGGAGATGTATGGGAAGGAGAGAAGGGAGGGAGATGGAGGGGAGGAGAGAGATGGAAGGGGCTGAGAAGGAGGGAGATGGAGTGATGAAGGGGGGGAGAGAAGGAGGGAGATGGAGGAGTGGGGCAATGGAGGTGGGAGAGAAGGAAGGAGATGGAGGGGGGAGAAGGGCAATGAAGGGGAGAGAGAAGGAGGGAGATGGAGGGGGAAAAGAAGGGGGTCAATGGAGGGGGGAGAGAAGGTAGGGAGAAAAGAAGGGGGGAGAGAAGGGGGCTATGCAGGGAGGAGAGAAGGGAGGGGGAGAGAAGGGGGCTATGGAGGGGGAAGAGAAGGAGGGGGAGAGAGAAAGAGAAAAGAGAAGGGGTTGATGGAGGGGGGAGAGAAGGGAGGGGGAAAACAAGGGGGTCAATGGAGGGGGGAGAGAAGGTGGGTGATGGAGGGGGGGGGAAAAGGGGGCTATGGAGGGGGGAGAGAAGGGGGGTGATGGAGGGGAAAGAGAAGGAGGGAGACAGAGAGGGGGAAAAGAAGGGGGTTGATGGAGGGGGGAGAGAGGGAGGGGGAAAATATGGGGTCAATGGAGGGGGGAGAGAAGGGAGGGAGATGGAGGGGGGAGAGAAGGGGGGAGAGAAAGGGGGAAGAGAAGGGAGGGAGAGAGAGATGGAGGGGGGAGAGAAGGGCGGGGGGCGATGGAAGCGGGAGAGAAGGAAGGAGATGGAGGAGGCTGAGATGGAGGGGAGGAGAGAAGGAAGGAGCTGGAGTGATGGAGGAAGAAGTTTGAGGGATGGAGAGAAGAAAGATGGAGGGAGAGAAGGGGGGTGATGGAGAGAAGAGAGAGAGATGGAGGAGGAAAGGAGGGGGAAAGAAGGAGGGAAATAGAGGGGGGAGATGGAGGTGGGGCAGGGGGCAGATGGAGGGGAGGAGAGAAGGAGGAAGATGGAGGGGCGAGAGAAGGAGGAATATGGAGGGGAGGGAGATGGAGAAGAGGGAGAGATTTAGGGAGAAGAGAAGGGGGGAGGAGGGAGAGAAGGGGGGTGATAGAGAGGGGAGAGAAGGAGGGAAATGGAGGGGGGAGAGAAGGAGGAATATGTAGGGGGAGAGAGAGGGGGGTGATGGAGGGGGGAGATGGGAAGAGTTCAGCTGTAGTGCAGAGCTCGGCTCACTCACCCAGGTTAGTCTCTGCAGGCTCAGGCTCAATCTTACAGCCTTGATCTAGTTGTCGGCTGCAGTGCTTGAAATTTCCCACCCACACATCTTCTGAGGCCCACACATCTCTCAGGGGTGATGGAGGGGGGAAAGAAGGAGGGAGATGGAGGGGGGAGAGAAAGTGGCAGATGGAGGGAAACAGGAAGATGGAGGGGGGAGGGAAGGAAGGAGATGGTGGGGGGAGAGAAAGTGGGAGATTGGGGGGGGGGGGGTGATGGGGGCAGAGATGGAGGGGGAGAGAAGGGGGGTGAGAAGAGTTCAGCTGCAGTGCAGAGCTCAGCTCACTCACCCAGGTTGATCTCTGCAGGCTCTGGCAGAGGAATCAATCATGCAGCCTTGATCTAGTTGTCGGCTGCAGTTCTTGAAATGTCCCGCCCACACATCTTCTCAGGCTCAGCACTGGTTAGGAATTGGAGTGTGGGCGGGGCAGGCAGGAGGAGAGGGGCGGGAGGCGGCAGTGTACATGATCTCTCTCTCCTCTCTTGTCCATGCAGGGAAGGGGAGAGGGGAGTGCTGTCTTGGCTATGTAAGCTGCTGCAGACAGCTTCTCTTGGATAAAGTCTGCCTGGGGGGTGCAGCTGAAATTTGGGGGGTATAGCCCACCTCTGCACTCCCTAGATCCGGTCATTTCTGATCACTGTCACCTGTGATACATTGCACACAAAACTGCAGCGTTGGAAGAATCAGGTCTGATCTTTGCTAGCACTAGCAGGTGAATTTTATTGGTAGTGGTTCAAGCAGTCCCTGACAGCCAGGAGCTCTTTTTCCCATAGGTCACACTAGGTACCTTTACATTTAGTGGCCAAAATGTCC